GGGGTTCAGTACCATTGTGGTTTCAGGCATCCACTGAGTGTCTTGGGACAGACATATCCTAGGCCAATAAGTGGGGACTACTGTACTGCATTTTTGTTTGTTTGTTTTTGAGATGGAGTCTTGCTCTGTCGCCCAGGTTAGAGTGCAGTGGCGCTACCTTGGCTCACTGCAATTTCTATCTCCTGGGTTCAAGCGAGTCTTGTGCCTCAGACTCCCGAGTAGCTGGGATTCCAGGTGAGTGCCACCATGTCCAGCTACTTTTTGTATTTTTAGTAGAGACAGGGTTTCCCCATGTTGGACAGGCTGATCTTGAACTCCTGACCTCAGGTGATCTGCCCACCTCGGTCTCCCAAAGTGCTGGGATTACAGGCGTGAGTCACCACACCCAGCCTTGTACTAAGTTTTTGAAGAAATTCTATTGCTGAAGAAACCACAAATCTGACTTGGAAATGCCAGTCATTGTTCATATCCTAAGGCAGTCTCTAGGAAAACATATTCTCCAACATCCACTTCAATTTTTAACCTGAAGAATAACGCACAAGGAAGAACCTGCCAGAGGGGTAAACCCAGGGGCCCAGATGAGGTTAATCAAGGAATTTATGTCATGGCGAGTGGAGAGATTTCTCCTTGGAAAGAAAACAAACAAACAAACAAACCAACAGGCAATTAAGGACTACTGATTGTTTCAGGTTGCCATTCTTTTATTTTTCAAATGGAAGTTTTTATTGTGGTTAATTCTGTTTCTGTTCTAACCTTGCATATTGGGTTGAAAGTGGGGATTGAGTATCTTTCTTTTATGTTATAGGTCATCAGACTGTAAGTAGCCATATCTGGATGTATCAGAGCAGGCCGTACTTCCCCCAGAAGTACTGACCTTGAGCTGGCTGCAGAAAGTGGATAGGACCACAGGCAGAGAGGGAGATTGAGCTGTATGTAAATGAGAGTCCACTCAGATATTTGGGTGTCCCAAGGGATTGACTCTATCTCTTCTTTAGCCTTCACCTTAATGTAATGCAGTGTTATTGGGAGTACCGATCTGTTTATTCAGAAACCTGTTACCTACATATTGACAATTCTGAAATTCGTATGTCCAAACAGGATTCTCTTCTATGTTCTAAACCCATATATGTTATCCAAATACTGGATACCTTTGCATGAATTTACCACAGGAGAGACCTCAACTACAACACGTCCCAAACTGAAATTATTTCCTTTTACCTTAACCACGTATGTCTTCTGTGGTAGATTGCAATAAATAGTCATAATCTTATCCCATCTCTTTATATATGCCCCTGTGCAATGTGACTTTTCTGTTTTTCTCATTAAGAGATGGACTCCAGATCTCTACTTCATTGTGTCCATGTTGGCCTATGACTTGTTTTGACCAAAAAATTCATAAAAATAATGATATGGGAATTTTGAGCCTGGACCTTAAGAAGCCTTGCTCTCAGTCTCTTGGAAAGTTCCTGTCATCATGTGAAGAAACTTGGGCTAAGCACACCCCTTTTTTCTGATACAAGGTCTCACTCTGTCACCCAGGTTGGAGTGCATTGGTGCCATCATGGCTCACTGCAGCCTCAACCTCTGTGGCTCAAGCAATCCTCCCACCTCAGTTTCCCAAGTAGTTGGGACTACGAGTGCATGCCATCACACCTGGCTAATTACTTTTTTTTTTTTTTTTTTTTTGGTAGAGATGGAATCTCACTGTTTCCCAGGCTGGTGACTAACTTCTGGGTTCAAGTGATCCTCCTACCTTGGTCTCCCAAGATGTTGGGATTACAGCATGCCTGGCTGGCTAGCTTCTTTGAGGATAAGAGTCTACATGGAGAAGGATGCCCAACTGACTTCCAGTACCAACTTGCGAGGCCCAGTGAGATCTCTTGTACCATAATTATTAATAATTTTTAAATGGCAACAACAGAATAATAAACCCTGCCAAGTGAGTGCTCTATGCCACTGCACAGGTTAGACATCTGTGAACTGGTCTTGATCACCAGAGAGGTTATTTGGACCATCAAGACCCCACCAACCTTCCAGGTGACTGTGACTACATGAGTGAGCTCAGGTGAAACCAGCAGAAGAACCTCCCAGCTAAATCCAGCCCAAATACTGACCCACAGAATTGTTAACTGATAAATGATTGTTGTTTTAAACCACTAAGTTTTGTGATGATTTGTCAGGCAGCAATAAATAACTAAAACTTACTTAGTCCCTTATCTCCTATCCTGGATAATTAAAGCCTGAATCATTTAACTTCACCCATCCTATGAGGCCTGAGGAATTCTTCAGGCTTTCTACTTACTTGTGCATCCATGAGTATGAGTTGTGGAGTCAGACTACACGAGTTTAAATTCTAGCTCCCCTTCTAATGTGACCTTGAATGCATTATTTGTGCCTGTATTTCTTCATCTGTAAAATGAAGATAACCTTATCTTTCTTATTAGGGTCTGTGAAGGTTAAATCACGTAACAAATGAACAGCACTTAGCACGGTGACTATGCTTAATAAATGTCATGATTGCCTTGGATCCAATCATGCTGTACATAAGATTCAGAATGAAACTTGCAGGAGTACTACAGAAGACTGCTGGGATCACACAGGAAGTTTTCAAGGAGGTCAAAAACAGACATGGTCCTACAGAAACTACAAATTAGTGTAAATGACAAACTTGTGCTCTGGAGTCAGACTTTCTACCTTCATATATCAGCTCTGCCACTTGTTCTATTTCTTGGCACATTACTTAACCTCTTTCTTTTTTTTCTTTCTTTTTTTTTTGAGACAGAGTGTTGCTCCATTGTCCATCAGTGCAGTTGCGTGATCTTGGCTCACGGCAACTTATACCTCCCGAGTTCAAGCAATTCTCCTGCCTGAGCCTCCCAAGTAGCTGGGATTACAGGTGCCCTCCACCATGCCCAGCTAATTTTTTGTATTTTTAGTGGAGACGGGGTTTTTACCATGTTACCAGGATGGTCTCAATCTCCTGACCTCGTGATCCGACTGCCTCGGCCTCCCAAAGTGCTGGGATTACAGGTGTGAGTCACTGCGGGCAGCACCTCTTTAGGTCTTAATTATGTATACTGTAAAATGGGAATAATAAAAGGAAATCCCTCATAGTATTATTGTGATGATTAAGTGAGTACTAAATTATTAAGTCACGTAGGCTTGCCACATGGAATATTCACACTACATGATATTTGAAAAGTGAGTATTGGTCAAAAAGGCAAACCAAAATTGCTTTAAGAGAAAAATTACCAAACATAAAGTACACTGTATACAAGACTGCAAACAAGATTTGACGTAAGCAGTCAGGAGCCAAAGGGAAGATAAACAACTTAAGTTTAGAGAGGAAGGCAGACGTGAAACCATTCAAAACTTTAGTCATTGCATCAGAAAGTATCGGAGTTGTGTTTCCTCAATCTCTCTGCAAGCTACAGCAGCAAAGCAGAAGGTACACTAGCAGCAGGCTTTGGATTGTAGATAACAGTTAAAGCAATCCGAGGTTCTTCCCTACCAATTAGCCAGTCAAGTTTTCAGTAGAGGAGTGACATTTAGAAAGAGTACCTTGACAACAACTGGAGAACAGAAAGAGCAGGACAGAAGGTCCACTGCCTGTTTTTGTAAATAAAGGTTTGGAACATAACCCTTGTATTGAATCATTCATGTATTGGCTATTGCTGTTTCCCGGCTTTAAGTGTAGAGTTGAGTAACTGTGACCATCTGGCCCACAAAGCCTGACCTATTCTTTAAGAAGTTATTTGCTGATCCCAAGGTGACTGTTGCAGTAACCTGGGGTAAGACAAGGGTGGATAGCTTTGGGGAAGGGACAGTAAGAATTTTGGAAAGGCAAACCTATAGATTGTGCCAAATAGTCAATGTCTCTGAGGAAAACATGACCCACATGTCAGTGGGATCATCTGTTTTGTTTTTAAACTAGATAACATTGACTCAAGCCCCTATTACACAACTGTTATATTATACAGTATTTCATGAAGTATCCTGCCAATTTTCCAGACATTTGATTTCAGTACTACCTCTGGCCCCCACTAATGGGTTCAGTTTATGGACTATTTTGCTGGACTCTAGGTGTGCTATCTCCTTTCTGCTCCTTTTTGATCTAGCATTGCAACTCGGCCCCATCCTGTGATTTCTTCATTTACCTCACCACCACCTCCCCTCACGCCATGTGTGTGTCTTGCAGAGGTATGGGAATTTAAGGGTAGTGGAAAGCCTACTGGAAATTTGGAAGAAATAAGGGGAGTTAAAGAAATACAAGTAACTTAGAATAGTACACATTTCAAAAAAGCATTTTAGTCATACCATGAAGATACTCTGCCATCCCTTTCTTTTCACTCTTTCTCATCTCTTCTGTCTTGTCCCCAACTCCTTCTACATCCCCAAGTTAATTTCTTTTTCTTCTCCTTAAAAATGTTTTTTTTTTCTTGATACATAATAGATATACATATTTTCACGGTACATGTGATAATTTGATACCTTTATACACTTTGTAAAGATCAACTCAGTGTAATTAGGATGTCCATCACCTTAAATATTTGCCTTTATGCTAAAAATTCAAATTATTCTCTTATAGCTATTTTAGAATATACAATAGATTATTGTAAACTGTAGCCACACTACTGATTCCAAATTAATTTCTGATATAGAACAGTCCCTCTTCTTATCCTGTCTCTTACTAACCCAAGTTTTCAAGGCACACCATATATATATAATGACGCAAGATGTTTTCCTCTGAGAAGAATTCTACTGCCAGCTATGAGAGAAATGGTTTAATTTCACTCTAGTAGCAAGGTTTCTTGGACCACAATGAGACATTGGTTTGGATCAAAAAATGTGTAATCCAACTCATCCAGCTGGAGGAGCCAGGAAAGGAGGTAGTCCAAGATGGGAGTAATGAAGTAGGGAAACCCAGATCACTTCCACAGGAGTAGTGTAAATACCTAAGAGGTGTGTGTGAGGTTGTAAATGAGAGAGGAGGCCAGGAATCAGGAACAGAGGAAATCAAACAAAGGAATTTTATTGTAGACTCTTGCCCCCTTTTGAAAGGAGATGGTGTGGTAACTTTTATATATATTCCACTTCATAGAGTATTAGACACACTGTAGGGACACAAGAAATGTTTGATAAACAGAACTCTTCATGCCATTCCTGAAATCTAGTTCTCTTTGTGCTCCTGGGGCTTTGCTGTTTTTATATAGATCAATTTACTGCACCTGAAAAAATCAAGCAGCATTAGTTTTATTTCTAAACTACCCAAGCAAAAGAGTATCAGTAAGTGTATCTAATATGTTCTTCCTTCAAATAGATGGAAACTAGCTCTCAATAGATTTGTATCATAACAACATCAATAACAATAAACAATGTTACCACCATCATTTATTGAATGCTGACTAGATCTGATATACGGAATCAGATCTAGATAGCACAATGGTCTGTGTACTCTCATTTAGGCCTCATAATAGCCCTATTATTATATTAATTTTACAGATGAGAAGATTCTGGCTCAAAGAGGCTCTTTTTCCTAAGGTCATAATAACTGGTGGTTTGTCTGACTTCAATACTCTTGATCTCAATAACACTAGTCCTGGCTGCCTCATAACTGGTTGCCCTGCCCCATTTCTAAACCTTTGTTCTCCTTATTCTGTTGCTTAAAATCCTTCATTGTTTCCTCATCTCCTCCAGGGCAGAGTCTACGTAATTCGGTGTAGCATAGTTTATTTTTCATAATCCTTGACCACTTTAGTGGCCTAGCTTCTCCTGCTGTTTCCATAAATGCATACTGAGTTCCAAACATTTGTGGTTCCTGGGGGACAGGCCCAGCTCCTCCATGCTTCCGTGGTTTCGCATGTTCTCACTCATTCTGTGGTATTCTTCCTCCCCATCTGCCTGGGCTTCAACACCAGAAACCCAAGTTCTAATAAATCTCTTTTTTGAGATCTCTTAGTCTCTCTGGATTTTGATTCTCCTGTTAGAAAAATTGAGATGATCCTTCCTCGGTTTGGAAACAGGTTACCTGTAATGAATTGTGGTCTTGCGTCTCAGTGGCTGTATCATTTTGGGAAAGTTGCTAGGCTTCTCTAAGCCTCAGGTTTTTTTCTAGAACAGGATAGGCCGGGTGCGGTGACTCACACCTGTAATCCCAGCACTTTGGGAGTCCTAGGCGGGCGGATCACCTGAGGTCAGGAGTTCAAGATCAGCCTGACCAACATGGGGAAACCCCATCTCTCTAAATACAAAATTAGCCGGGTGTGGTAGTGCATGCCTGTAATCCCAGCTACTCGGGAGGCTGAGGCAGGAGAATCACTTGGAGCGGAGGTTGTGGTGAGCCAAGATTGTGCCATTGCACTCCAGCCTGGGCAACAAGAATGAAACTCTGTCTCAAAAAAAAAAGAACAGGGTAATGATGTTTCTTTAGAATAGTGCCTGACACATAGTAAGTATTATCTTATTATCACTATCTGGTCAGGTGCAGTGGCTCACGCCTATAATCCTAGCACTTTGGGAGGCTGAGGGGGTGCAAATCACTTGAGTCCAGGAGTTCGAGACCAGCCTGGGCGACATGGTGAAACCCTCTCTCTACTGAGTTAGAAATGATTCATTATTATATGGATCTTGCACAAACTAAATAAGAAAAACATGATCTGGGATAATAGTTATTACCACATTGTGCTTCCTTAGGGATTACCTGCTCACCTTTTAAGATTCAGCTCAAATTCACATTTATAATGCCTTTCTGTATGCATTCTGTACACTCTACACATAGTCATTTTGTCAATTGTGCTAAAAAAAACTCTATTTTTTATGTATTATATCATGTGTAGTTATTTGTTTAAGTCCTCATTTTCTCTGCTAGTCTGGACTCCTTGAAGACAGGAATTATTTTATTATTCATCCAAAGTTAGCATAAATAGGTATTTAATACACTTCAGTAGATTGATTGCACATATACATTCATTAATAAACAAGAATGAGCCTCAAGGAACTTATAGTTATTACAACAATGACGATGATGACAATGATGATGTAATGTTTATTGAGCATAATTTGCTCTACACTGTCCTAAACTCTTGGCACTCATTAACTCATTCAATTCTTACCAACTCTATTAGGTATTATCCCCATGAAAGTTTTTTTTTTTAAATTATAAACTATTATTATCACTATTTGGTCAGGCATGGTGGCTCACACCTACAATCCCAGCACTTTGGGAGGCTGAGGCAGGCAAATCACTTGAGTCCGGGAGATTGAGACCAGCCTGGGTGACATGGTGAAACCCCCTCTCTACTAAAAATACAAAAAATATAAAAATTAGCTGGGCATGGTGGCACAGGCCGTGGTCCCTGCTACTTGGGAGGCTGAGGTGGGAGGATTGCTTGAGCCTGGACAACAGAGTGAGACCCCATCTCAAAAAAATATGCATATGCATATATATATACACATATAGAATAAAGAAATTCACAAACATAAAAAAATCTTATTGCTATTTTACAGATAAAGTAACAGGCTCAGAGAAGTTAAGTAACACACTCGAAGTCATATAGCTAGGAAAAGGTGTACAACAAATTTATGCTTCAATAGAAAATCCTGCATTACTGGCTGCACACTTTGGGAGGCTGAGGCGGGCAGATCACCTGAGGTCAGGAGTTCGAGACTAGCCTGGCCAACATGGTAAAACCCCATCTCTACTAAAAATAAAAAAATTAGCTGGACATGGTGGTGCATACCTGTAATCCCAGCTACTCCGGAGGCTAAGGCATGAGAATCACTTGAACCCAGGAGGCAGAGGTTGCAGTGAGCCGAGATCGTGCCACCACTCCAGCCTGGGCAACAGAGTGAGACTCTGCCTCGAAAAATAATAACAATAAAAAAAAGAAAAAGAAAATTCCACATTGCTTAGACAGCACCTTCCAGATCATCTGATTCCTGACTTTAATTGTCTTTGAGCCATTTTACAACTCAGTATGTCTTTTTCAGATTTGCTTAAAAACAGGTTGTAACATCTGCCTGATTCCTTCACTGAATTAGTTAAATAAAATCTTTGACATTATTTCCTTTTCTATCTGTATCAGTCATGATTTTAGCTTTTTCTGAAAATTATCTTTTAAGAAAGATATAACTGGAATGCAACCCCAATTCTGACTTCAAGGCCCATTTATGCAACTCAAAGGTCTCCAACTTTTTTTTTTTTGAGATAGAGTCTTGCTCTGTTGCCCAGGTTAGAGTGCAGTGGTGCAATCTTGGCTCACTGCAACCTCCGCCTCCCAGGTTCAAGTGATTCTCCTGCCTCAGCCTCCCAAGTAGCTGGGATTACAGGCGCCCATCACCATGCCCGTCTAATTTTTGTATTTTTAGTAGAGACAAGGGTTTCACCATCTTGGCCAGGCTGGTCTTGAACTCCTGACCTCGTGATCCACCCGCCTCAGCCTCCCAAAGTTCTGGGATTATAGGCGTGTGCCACTGCGCCTGGCCTAGGTCTCCAACTTTATGTGCACTTTACTGGGAGCTTCTTTTTATTTTTATTTTATTTATTTAGAGAAAGGGTCTTGCTCTGTCATCCAAGGTAGAGTACAGTGGCGTGATCATAGCCTACTGCAGTCTCAAACTCACTGCAGTCTCAGCCTCCCAAGTAGCTGGGACTACAGGTACATGCCATTGTGCCTAATTAAAATGTGTGTGTGTGTGTGTGTGTGTGTGTGTATTTTGTACAGATGGAGTCTTGCTATGTTGCTCAGGCTGGTCTCAAACTCCTGACATTAAGAGATCCTCCTTCCTCAGCCTCCCTAGGTGTTGGGAGCCACTGTGCCCAGCAAGGAGCTTCTTTTTACTGTGTTCTACCTCAAGAGACTCTGATTTAGAAGGTTTTTGGTTTTGTTTTTGTATTTTTAACATGACTCCAGTTATTCTGTTGCAGGTGGTCTGAAAAACACTGCTTTGAACAACTCTATGATACTGCTTTCCTGGTAGGAGAAATAAAGTACCTGTACAAAGAAAGCTATACATTTTCTCAAACTCTCAAATAGAAAAGAGGGAGAGAGAAATTCTCAGCCTTAACTAGGAAAGTTTTGACAAGCAAAGATGTGAGGAAAAGACCATGTGTGTGTTGGGGGCAACATGAGCAAAGGTAGAGAGGCAGGAAAATGGAGAATGACTAGTAGTTGGATTCGGCAAGACTGAGTAAAGAGTATGATCAGTAAAAATGGAAATGTAGGTTTGAGCTAGAATGGTGGACATTAACACATTTAGTTAATAGGCAATAAAGGTAATAGAACAATTTTGATTTGAGTTGAAAAGAAGATAACCAACAGTAGGTCAGAAGAATTCTGAAGATGCAAGAAGTTGCAGACAGAGAGAGGCAACTTATGGATGACAAGAAAAGAAAAGTTATGAGATCACAAGGATTTGAGGACTCTTCTAAAACCAATGAATATTTATTGAGGGTCTATTTTGTGTGAAAACGTGGTACTGAGTAATGGGAGAAAATGGAAAGGTAATTATTAACTTGGTATGATGCCAGGGAGACATAAGAGGAAAAGGATGGTATTCAGGTCTAAATTTGGTGAGTGAGAGTAAGGGTAGAGGAAGTAAATGAAAAATACATAGGGAGTCCAACTGACAGAATTTGCTGTGTACTTGGATATAGAGAGCTGAGCAAGAGGGAGGAATTTGGAAAATTGAAGTCTCTAGGTTGGGTGATTAGAGGCATGATGACTTTGTGAACTCAGAGAGAGAAAGAAGAGTATGGAAAAGAGGAGGGATCATGAGTTATATATTTTATTGCATTTGAAGAACCTGGGAAAACATAGTAGAATCTTGGGAATATAGGTCGGAAGCTCAAGAGTGAGAATTTTAGACGGCATATGTGGAATTGATACCAGATACACCTTAATGGATTGGGGAGAACGGGGAGGACAGGGTTAAGCCAAAGCTAAGATGGACTTCAAGGTAGGTAAGAACCTGGAGTAGGCAGAAGTGAATTGAGCAAAACGTTAATTGCAAAATTTAGAGCTAAGAATCAAAGCAGAAAAGCACGTTATGTTCTCAGGTGCAAGGAATTATCAAAACTTTGAGATAAAAAGTTCAAGGGCTAGGGGAATGCAGCAACAGCTAATTGAGAAATGACAGCAAAAACAGCGAATAAAGTAGTATACGTATACATATTTGCAGAACTTCTTTTAGCAAGAGTATTTGTTTGGAAGAACTACTTTTCTTAACT